AGATTGATAATTTGATACTCAGCATGCCTAGGCGTTGTACGGCCTGTATTGCATCGTCCGGGAGACATACTCCGTATTAACCATCATACTAACCATGTTATACTGTTTTTTGTAAATAGGTTCTTTTTTGAAATTTGCTCCAGGGAGTAAAAATCGCAATTTTTATTAATTATGTCAAACATATAGCATCTTTTTTGCTCTTTACCTTTTGTTTAATACATAGACTTTACAAATAAGTCAAATTTGTTTGGCTTCTGTCTCTTTCTGTGCCTGAACTTCATTATCCTTAATTTATGGACATGAGTGTATATTAGAAGCTCACTAAGAAAATTTTAAATAAATAAATATTTCATGGTAATATTTCAATAATAATATCGGGAACGTTTCCAATCGGTATTATTATTATTGAAATATTGGGTGGAAATGTTTATTTGTTTATTTTTTTATAATCTCTTTGTGAGCTTCTAAAATATCATAGGTTGACAATCGGGGCTCCCTGGGGGTTACGGGTTGAAGACTCGTAGTTTACTTTAGCAAACTTGCTTCCTTTTTGAAAATAAGTATATTTCAGTATCACATTATCACTATTTAAACGTTTTTAGTCACAGATTTGAATGTCTGTTTACGGCTGTGTACTAAATATATATTTTCTGAAGTCTAAAAAGATTTGTAGAATAAAAGATGATATATAACGTAATTAAAGATTCTTTAAATTGTAGAAACAAAAATATTTCCTTGATAACTTGTGAGAACAGGATGTGAAGCAGGATACATATAAAATTATCTCGTTTTAAATGCTAACTATTTATAATCTTTAGGGCAGGATGTTATTTTGATTGTGTGAATCAGAAAATACCTCAGCTCCAACTTTTTAAAATTTTCTCAGAAAAATCGCAGTTGTTTTGAGTTAAAAGTATCATTTTAAAAGTAACAATTCCTAAGTTATCCTATTTTAACACTAGATTGCCCAAGGAAGTAATTTTGACTGCATTTTAATTTCAATTAGAAAAACAATGATGTATATAATGACACAATTTCTTAGAATTGTGTGACTTTTATAAATATTTTTATTGTTGATATTTGCTAATAACTTGTTATGCAACTTAAAATAATATCAAAAATATTTAAAATTAATTTTAAACAGATTTCTTTATACATTAGTTATTCTTTCACAATGCAGTCATTTTGACTGCATTGTATGGATATTTCAGTCTTTTTAGTGTTAAGCGTAAGCCTTTGTCCTTCCAAAATTTTGATTACAGGAAAAGTAGTAAAGCAAATTTTAAATTGTATTATCTAAAATATATTATCTAAAAATATAAGTTGTAACTACAACTCTTTTTGTTTAAAAAAATCTAATAGAACGTGCTTTGATATTTGAAAAATCCTTTAAGAGTTGTCTAAAATATAAAGTTAAATTATGATTAGATTTTCTTTTATTATTATTTTTTATTATTATTACATACTTAAACATAATTCATTATTCAGCAAATTTTAAACCGTACTTTAACCTAATATTTTTCGAATATTTAAGATTAGAATTACACCCGAACTAATGAATATAGGAACACAAATTAATTTTAAATATCTTCAACAAAAAAAAAAACAAAAAAATGCAAAACACTTGATTTGAAATATATTTGAAGAGATAAGCCAAGAAAGCGTTTTCAGAAAGAAACACTACGATTTTCGCGTATGAAATAAGATATTTCTCGGTACTATGCTGTCTTCAAGTGGAAATTCTGAAAACTTGCAAAATAACTATTTGAAAACAATACTAAGGTAGAGTTTTTTTTTGCAGAAAATGTCACCTTTGTAAAAAGTTAGGCGGATCTCGATATTGCCTCAATTCATTACCATCAATTCATTCACTTAATACCTTTAGGTCACCTAAAAACAGATATAAATACACGTTACGAAACCTTTCTCTTGCTGACTGAATTCAAACGTCAAAGGGGAGTGGACGGAGAGAGGAATTCTAAATTTACTATTATTCATCCTTATTTACTATTTACTCTGCTCGACGGTATCGTCACCCAATTAGAACATTAAAAGTATAAGATAAAGCTTATCAAGTAAAAGATAGTTTATGAAGTATAATGAAGGAATATTATTCAATATAGATGAATTAAGGAATATTTTTTTAAAACTGAAACGGAATATTAGCCAACGGTCCCGTCTCCTCTTTTCCGAGTTGTTTTCATTGTTCATTTCATTGCCCGTTCGGACCATTTCATCAGCAAGTTGCAACTATGGTTATTAAAGTTGATTCAAGTTAAAATTGGTTACGTGCTTTGAAATAAATCAAGTTAAATACTAATTTTTTTTCTTCAAATATATTGTATTGCGTTCAAAATGTATTTCTTAGAGTAGTGAAACGATCGATTGTTAATTAGTAATTTAATTAAAATATGTCAATATTTATTCTCAAATAAAGCTTAGATTGAAATTGATTTTATTTTATTTTTATATATGCCTTTCTGAGTTGCAATAAATTACTTCTTTATAAGTTATCACGTTTGTCCACTCTAGCCCTCCTCTCCTGTATACACACACACAAGTAAATCCACATCTAGCTTTATACTATTTAACTAGGAGGCTTCGCCCCCTGCTCGCTGGCGCTCGCCAACCCCCCCCCCCAAACNGCAGTTCATTTCGGATTGCTTCGCAATCCGATGTTCGCTTTGCTCGCTCATTGGATACGTTCTTAACATCTAGCTTTTGTATACTTTTCTGAACACTGAAGTTCTGAAAACTTTTCACTGTAGAAAATTCTAAACCCGTACATTTCAATATTAATTTGAAATTGCAAGCAGTTAGACTTCGGTGAGAATCGAAGACAAATGCTATTGTATTTATGTAATGAGTTCACAACTTCTTAATTATGTGGATAAATACGAAAAAAAGTTTAGAGATTTGTACAAAACGCCTACAATTAAAAATAAAAATTGTTGCCAGGGCGAGAAAAGAAATATCATCGGTTTTATTGATACATACGTACGTATTAGCGTTTTATATAATATAGATGTTCAGAATCCAGAATATATTAATTGTAATCAATAGCATCATTCCAGACTATTAATTGGGGAATAAAAATATTACAGCACATTTTTTGAAATTATATTTAAGCCATAAAAATTTTATTTACCTGCTGTAGATGTTCCAAAAATTACGCAGACAAATATTGCTAAGTATGCAACAGTAATCATGGCTAAGTGACAGCTGTAAAATATAAAATACAATTAAATTTTATATATATATATATANATATATATATATATATATATATATATATACACACACACACAAAATAAGTAAATATAAAAAGTATGAAGACGGAGAGTGCCAAAATATTTAATTCATATAAAAAAATCACCAAAGTTTTAAATTAACTACAATTTTAACTATTTATATTGAAATAATTACATAATACTGAAGCATAGAACTATTGATCAGATACAATAGATCCAAGACCTTTTCATCCATGTTGCAGTAAGGAGTGCTTTCTGAATTTTGTTACAGTATATCCAAAACAAAATATTAAAAAAATAAACAAATAAAAATAAAAAGTATAACGACGGAGAACACCAAAAAATTAATTAATATAATGAAAGTACCCAAGTTACATAATTAACGGCAAATTCAACTATTTATATTGAAATAATTACATAATACTGAAGCACAAAACTATTGACCAGATACAAAAGATCAAGACCTTTTTAATCTCTTTTTCATCAATCCATATTGCAGTGAGGAGTGCTTTCTGAATTTGTTACAGTATAGCCAAAGCAAAATATTCAAAAAATAAATAAATGAAAATAAAAAGTATAACGACGGAGAGCACCAAAAAATTAATTAATACAATAAAAGTACCAAAGTTACATAATTAATGGCAAATTCAGCAATTTATATTGAGATAAATACAATATAACCTAAAGTAATTAAATAATTTAACATAATTTAATCAATGAAATTTCTTAGAGATTTAATTTAAAGAATAATTTCGAGAGTTTAGATAAGTTTTAATTTTTGAAAACAAAAACTTCATTGCTTACTTCATTCCTCGGAAAAAGAATTAAAAAGAATAGGTCGTGGCAATCTTCACAATTTTATTTGAGATTTTCGATTGTTATTTGTTTTTTCTTTATCTTTATAAATTTCGGTTAGCAATGTATTCCTATCATAACAGGACTTTTCGTTTCTTGCACAACAAATGTGAACGGGAGCCATCTGTTCATTCACATTAAAAAAAGATCATAATTTATAAAAATTATTTTTTTCTTTTTCTTTTAGATAACATTACTGCTCATTTAGTTCAAAATAATAAAAAAATTAAGACAATTTTGCTAAATGGAAGATATAACAAAAAAAAATTTCTTATTTACTATTAAAATTAAAAATTATAGAACACTGGAACTCATTGTTTTTTCTTTAGAGCTCATACTATATTTATTTTAAAGAATTTAAATAAAGTATACTATTTATTATATTATTCATGTTTTAAATTTGAAATATCGTTAAAAATATGAATTGTTTTTTAAAATTGTTAGCTTAGTAACTTCAATTAAATTATTTAAATTGTTTTTGAAAATTTTTGAGCTATTCGTTAGTTATTCTTGCTATAAAAAAGCCGATTTTTAAATAATTTTAATGAACAATTTCATGGTTTCACTCCGAAAAAATTCATGCGAGTGCTCTTGTTTGAACTTTTTATTTACAGACTTAACTTAAATATTAAAGGTCTCGATTTTTTCAAATATAAGAAGTTGTTGTTGACGTATGCCTGTTTTAGGCAGAGGGGGTGCGATTGTTCTAGTTTTCCAGTGGCGCCATCTATGGCCAAGAATTTGACTTCTGCCACACCATACGTCGCACCCGTTTATAGGGCGGACCCATTAATATATCCATTCATTCATCCACAGATCGTAATTTTGACCTGAATCAGAGAACGAACGATCCAGTACCCCCAGAGATATTGATTTGTTATGGGAACATGGAGGACTTTTGCGACTCGACAGATTTAACGTGCATCAGTCACTTCCCGGCCTTACTTGGAGTTTTCTATCACGTAATAGTATTGTTGCTCTGCAAGTGGCACAAAATAATATTTCGATTCTAAGTATCTCAAAATAAATTGCAATGAAAACCCATGAATCGAACGTAGGACGTAGTAGTAATTTTAATTACTTTTCGTGGTGAAAGAGAATTTGCGACGAAAAGTTTCTCCCGTGATATCGCGTCCTCTTATGCATCTTTACATAATTTGTTCACTAAATGCAAATCTTGATCTTATATATAAAACAATTTCTATTTCACATATTAATCTTCAATGAAATGTTAAATTTCTATTTCTGAAATTGAATAGCAACAATTATTATTATTATTATTATTATTATTATTAATACTAACATATTTATTGAAAATCACATCTGCTTTGAATTATATTTTGTTCTTTTTCGTTTGTTTTGGATTTTGTTAGGTAAGAGTTAATGTAATGTAATAAATAATATGTTACATGTAATAAACAAGAATATTTCAGTTAAATATAAGCTTCTAATTTTGGCAAAATATTTATACTTTCAGAACGTAAGCATTTAAGTACACTAATACGTAATTAGTAAGCACAGATTTCGAGCATATATTTATTCATATTTTGTGCTATTATTTGTATATATTGGGCAATTATTTATACATATTTATATATATTAATTATGTACATTGGACATTATTTGTGTATATTATTATTACAATATAATTATTTTAGTATAGTAAATATTGATCATCGATTTTTTTGCAAGCATTTAGTTTTATTTAATTAAACAGCACAGTCTTAATGTAAGTAATTTAATAGAATTTGACAGTAATCTTAATCCAAGTGAACTTTAATTGAACGTAACAACATGATATGTGGTCCAACATATATTAGACGCCTAATGCTCAATTAAATATTGAAATATCCAAGTTCTATAATAAAACTTTTGACATCTATAATTTTAAAGATTTATAGCAAGAAACATGTAACAAGTTTAAAAATAAATCAAAAATGCATGCACTGATAAATAAACAATCATCTAATTTAATTTCTTCACAAAGCAAATATTTTTACTTATTTTGTATAATCTAATGAGTGTTTATTTATTTTTTATTAAAAAATTTTTATTTTGGTAACATTTACCAAATTTTCCTCACATAAAAGTTGTTTGTTTTTGAACTTGAAACTTTTGAACAGCGTTAATAAGCAATTTTTTAAAAATATATTCAGCTTGAAAAAATTGCCATGGTCATTTGTTTGAATTTTCCTGAATCTAAAAAGAGTAATTATAAATTTAAAATAAAATATAAATATGAATTATAAATTAGGTTATATAATTTTTATAGGTTTTTCTTCCAATACTCAATACATTACTTAAGCTTTAAATTCAAATTTAGTTGTTCGAATTTAATGGGAGTTACGAATAAAAATAATAAGCAAAATAAAATTTTAATTTTTTATTAAATAGTTTTTGAGATAATGACCATATAACTAACGCTAGAAAAGATTTAAAATAAATTAGATTTCGTGCGACATGCTGATCCTTTCCCTTGATTCTATAATAAGAGAGGGCACCACGAGTAAAACTCATGTCTTAAAATTAATAAAATTAGCAATATTAGTTCAATGTTAGTAGTTAGTTACTGTTAGTAGTAATTTGAAATTAGTACCAGTAACACAAAATTCAATACCAGTAATACAAGAAAAATAAATTAAAAAATTTATTGAAAAATTCATTAAGTATCAGTTTAATTAATTTAATATCGGTTATTCTTTAAGGAAAAAAAAGAACTGCAATAAATTGTGTTTTCAATGCCATAGTAAAAATTGAATTGATATCACCTTCAGCGTTCAATAATTATTTAAATTACTACAATTTCTTTCATTAATAAAGGAAATAGTTTTTGTGACGAAAAATTAGACATTTCTAGTTTAAAAAAATCGCTTGTGTACAAATTTGCCCAATGTAAAAAATATTAGGTATAGAATAAAGTAGTAATAAGTCCCAGGTGACAACGACAAAAGATCCAACCAGAACACTTCCCATTGAGTAGGGGTAAGGATTGTTTTAAGGCTAACGGTATATTTTCTAGATTGTGACTACCACCATGTTTTGAGGGTCAAGATCCTTAATCCGTCAATATGTTTAATCAAGGAAAATGGGTTGTGTCCGATTCCTTAACTTAATTAATAATTAGTACCAATTAATTTGCATTTGTGATACCTTTTATGAAGATTTAAAAGCGAGATTTGATTAGCAAAAATCCGATCATTAAAGAAAACCACTTCTGGATTATAACTTTCTTTTTGCGCACTGCTTACTAATGGATGGTGTTTTCAGTAGAAATGTAAACAATAACAATCTCGAGCTGTATGCCTGCTCTAGTTCCGGTTAGAAAGTTTGCAGCTGCTTACTACATGTTATTCTGCGAGGCGATATTTTCAAACGGATAATTTTGTTTTCAATAAAAGAAATAAATTAGATAATTTCTGAGCTCTAATCTGCCATATTTCACAAGATATTAATGTTATTATGTAATTCTGGTGAGTTTGAAGTGAAAGTTTGTTTTAGTTGTTTAGAGATATATTGTTAAAAAAGGTGACATGGTTGCTAGATTTTGAATAACTCGCTTTTTTGGCAGTCTTGATATGGCCTCTTTCCATAAGTTTATTACTGTTTGTTCTTGTTGCAAGCTGTGCACCATCTTACATTAGTGTTAACACTTTTAGCATTGTAAACACAAGTAATAAGTAATTAAATACTTTGTTTGCAAGAATCTCAAAACACAATGATGCCAAATGGCTTTAAAATACAACGGAGACAGTAACCCGGAAATTTAGGCGGCACCGAGCTTGCAGCGTTCCCTAGTGTAGAAAGCACCATCCATAATGAAAAACTTAAGAGTTGCAAATCTTAAAGCACCGGTCTGTATGACGGAAACGGAGACATATTATACAAAACAAACCACTCACTCCAAAATAGTTCCGAAAAGCGACACGCCATTACTACACTACACTCCACCTGTGGGGCTAGTATTTGATGTAGTCCTACTTTTTGTGGAATTTTCCTATTCTTAACATGGCAATCAAAAACTCTCGCTCTCTAATTTCTTCATTAATGTATAGTAAGTAAAGAATATTCGAGCTGATTGCTCTAAGATGTATTCTACCAACAGTTTACCCTTTCTTGAAAAACGCTCTTAAGATATATTTTTTTCAAACAATGAAAGAAATTTATATTTAATTAAATTCGAGTCTGCTAACCTATAGGTCGGGGCTTCGATGCTCAGCTTTGACACGGGAGCATATATTTCGCACTTTTCCTTTTAAAGCATTATAAACTTATAAATCAGCTATTAAACACTTATTTTATATTTATACGGTTTTTTTGTTTCAATTTTACTAAATTATATATTTTAGTATATACTTTTAACTTAAAGTTTGATAAAAAAAATCATAAAAATGTTTTTAAACTAAATATTTGAATACGTTTATAATTTAGCACCTATGTACCTTTGCATAAACAACTGTAGCGTCTTATTTTTAATTTAATAAAGTGAACAAGAAAAATTATATTCTAGTTTTCTTTTCGCTATAAAAATTTAGAAGTAAAGCTTTACTAAAACTTTTTGATAATTTTTTTTTTTTAATTTTAGCAAAAATCTGTCCTAATCAATTGAAGAAAAAAAATCAATTTCTAAAATATTAATGACTAAAAATTTTAACTAGTTAGCTAATATGAACTATTTAAGTTAAAAATGGAATTACTAAAATTTGAAATTGCATTCGGTTCTTTATATTTAAAATTATTTTAATTCTATGAACGAATTACGTTTATATATATTTGTATCAGGCTGAAAATAATTTTTACTTATAAACACATATATATGAATTAAATCTAAATTTTTACATCAATTATTTGTTTAGCATATATTTGTTTATCATAGCAAAAAAAAAGTTAATGTACAAATTCTAAAAATATTTTAGAATTTATCTGTTATTTTAAATAAAACAAATTTTATAAAAATTAAAATAAAGTGTTTTCCTTACTCTACACAAATAATACTTCGAGCAAAATTTAGTAACAAGTATTACGATGTTTTAAATTAGTAAATCATTCTCTTTAAATTTTAAGGGTAACTTCTGTTTTGGTTATCTTAGAGGATTAATGTACAGTTTTAAATTAGCAAAAAACTAACTTAATTAGAAAAAGATTCTTTTATATCTAAACCCACAGTCTTTTAAAAAAAGTTTTTAACATGCTTGGGGCATTAAAAGCTAGTTTTTTTTATACAATATTTTATCTAAATTTATTCTATATATAATCATTACTAGATGGCAACTATCACTAACAAAATCTTTTAATTTCGTATTTATTGCAATTGAAGATTTCGGTCTCTATAATTCTGTTTGCTAATATACTTTTGTTTATAAGCTAAGAAAGGAATAAAGAAGAAAAAAAAGAATTACTGTTGAAGGTGGTTTGGTTAAAAAATATCATAACCTATTTGGATGTCAAAATAAAGTTCAATAAATAATATTAATCAATCATTTATTTATAATAATTATTTATTTACAATAATGATTTATTTATAATAATTATTTATACAATAATTATTTATACAATAATTATTTATATAATAATTACTTATGTAATAATTATTCATGTAATAATTATCGATATAATAAAAAGTAAGTATAGTTTCAAATGATACAAGAAGTTTTTAAGTAGTTAAAACTTTTGGTTTGAAGATTTAATAACAGAAAGTAATTTCTTTTCTCTTCATTATATAGGATTTATTTTACAATTTTCAATTTGAAAAAAAAAGTATTAAAAGTGTTTTGTTTAAACCATAAAAAGTTTAAGTATGTACAAAATAATTGTACTGTTAATTTTTGAGCGTGTTGTGATTTTCTTAAAATTTGTTTTCCAATTATAAAAAAAAGGTTAACTTTTGTTACTTAGCAAGTTTGATTATATTTTAATTTGTTTATACATTATTTTTATGAATAACCTTTTTACTACAGCCAGATCTTTATGCGTTTAACATAAATATATTTGTCTAAAAATTTAATCATAAACGAAATTAATGTTCATGTTAGGTTTGTTCTAAAAAATCATCAACTATAATAGCAGATTGTGTTAATTATCAATAGTGAATTATAACTAAAGTACAAGATTTTATTTATTTTCAGAGTGATGATTAGCGACAGCTATGCTCCAATGCGCCATCTGGGGAGCAGACCGGTTCCATGGCTTAACCTACACCCTCTCCTCACCTCCTTTACTCAGTTGTATGCGAATGTTCTATAATATTTTTCTCTTCATTAATATTTTTCACATTGAACTGTCAAAAATATTTTCTAGAATTTCCACAACGCTTTCTTTAAGAACTATGTTTCATCCAGTTTTAGTTTCATATAATTTTTTAATTAAAATATTTTAAACCCAAGACGGAAACTAACAACTTTATGCAATTTAAACAAAATTCGATCGAACTAGCGGCTTCCGCTTGATTTTTTTCGAAAAATGTAGGTTTCCTGATTCACCTGAAACATTTCAAACGTTTTTCGTCACATAACAGCACGATAGCTCGACTTCGAAGGCTAAGTTCGATAGAACTATTTCTGACCAGTCACAAAGTAGATATTTTCCGTTTAATAGTGGTGAAGGAGAAAAATCGGGGAGACAGGAAACTAAAAATGTTACAAGCATATGTTACAAACACTCATAGATAATTTTATGTTTACGCCGATTCAACTATGTTGTATTTTTTTAAAATTGAGCTATGCAAATATTTCAAATTACTTAATTGCATTTATAAAGTAATTTCGAGTTTGAAATCCAAAAATATGATTTGATCTTCATGCGTAGTCGCCTTTAATTCATATTTGTTATTTATTACTGGCATGAATTAAAAGCGACTACGGATACTACTATTTTTAATTAAGATATGCAAATATTTCACATTACCTATTTACATTTATAAAGTAGTTTCGAGATTCAAATCCAAAACTATGATTAGATCTTCATCCGTAGTCGCTTTTAATTCACCTTTGCTACTTATTACTGATAAAAACAAATTGCCAACATTTGAAGAAGTATAAATTTTTACAAGGTAATTGTAATTATATTATCTCATTACAGTTCGTTATACAGACTTACGTTTTCTGATCTGATTAAATGTATGTGTTTCTGTATGCATAAGTATTCGCGATGCTCGAATACGCCATCTGGGGAACAGATCGGTTCCATGTCTTGATCCTCTCGTCCTCTTTCCAGTTGAATAGGAATGTATTATAAAACGATACGATATTTTCCCCTTCCTTAATATTTTTCATATTTAATAATCCAAAAATTTTTTTTAAATTCCCACGAAGCTTTCTTTTAGAACTATGCTCAATGCTTTAAAACTTCTTAATCTATTTGAAAATCAAGACAGAAACAAACATACTTCCTCCTGATTCTCCAAGCTCTAGTGGTAAAAGCATGGACATAAGAGTATCATAAGAGTTTAAAACGTTTAATAAGAAGATTTTTAAAAATGAAAAATCATCATCATTGTACCCAAAATTGTTTAAAATAAATTTTCTAAATCAAGTAAAATCTATCTAAACTATTTTGAAAAACAATTACAAAAAAAATTAATACTTGAAGCATTTAAAGAGTTTAAGTAATATTTCAGATAATTACAGACACAAAAATTTATGCTAAGATCGAAACTAGGCGAGGAGACGCTAATTTGAAAGTCACAGTTAAAAATTATTACCCAGCCCATAGAAAACGCGTATGAATATTTTCATTGTTGGAAGGAAAATACAGCACATATGACCTGCAGGAAAAGATGAAGTTTCTTTGACGGACAACCCTTTTATTTCGATAGTGATCTGCTGTTATTTACAGTTGAATTAGGAAACCGGCCGCTTTCGAATAGCGAGGTTCAAAGAAATCGAATCGAAGAAGCGCGTTTCAATTGCATAAGGGTATAACATACTTCCTTCTCCTATGACTATCCACACTCTAATGATGAAACCCAAACCATGCGAAGTGTTGCCACAGGTACAGAGTTCTGCTCTACGCCACCTGTATCCCATTTCGATTGCCAATAGAAAAATTATTTTGCAGTATTTAGCACAATATATTAATATTATTAGGTCGTTAATCATGAAATGTGTTGATTGGATGCGTTAACTTCGACAGCTTTTATTAGTTGAGATTGACTTGATACTTTACCGTCTTTTTCTTTTGATGAAAAGTTAATTACCTTACTTGCGTAAAGAAATCATCGTAACCTGTAATAACAGGCATAAAGATATTTTTTTAAAATTAATTTTAATTAAAAAGGGTCGAAAAGTTGCACCATAATAATTCTTGCGTGGAACCACGAAAACTCAGTCCACGCGAAACATTAATAATGTATTTGGCTTTCGTGTTAGTTGAACACGGATAAACACTAATACACACTACGAAGCACAGGGGTGATCATATTGCAACTAACTAGACGAAATGACATAAAATCTAATAAATAGCCAAAATTTGCTTCTAGTCCTATTGCATAACATTGCCAAATCACACTGTGCACAAATGACTATGGCAAAAATATAGGAATTGGAACTTCACCCTACTCCCTTTAACTAGCCCCTTCGGACTACCGCATCTTTTCAAATTTGCACAACTTTTTAATGGGAAAATGAATGCTGTAAAACAGGTTTTTCAGGAATTAATTGACTCTAGTCCACTAGGATTTTATCCCGAATTTCCTGCTTACATGGCAAAAGAATAAAGATGCATAAAATATTTCTTCATATATGTAAGTTATTAAAAAATTTTGTCTTTTTTTCCTGCAAATTTCATTCTTGATCACCTAATGCATTAAATATGTTAAGCTGCATGTTTGACTCATATAATAAGATTAGCATTTGGAAATTAACTAATTATCGGAATTGCTAGCAAATTGGAATAATCAAACTAAATTCTTGCCCCTTTCTACTTGGATAAAAAATTTCACTATTCGAATCTGGTCAAATGGAAGAAAAAAAAATAATTATGGAGTAATACAGTGAGAAAATCACTTCACTTAATGTTATAATTCAAGTACAGCATCTTCTTTCGAGGAATGGTATAGGGTACCTTATTCCCCCACCTGTCGTCCAACAGATACAGCAAAAACTTAAGACCTTAAAGAGAAATATTCTAGGTACTGTACTGACCTTTTCAACTCAGATTTTTAAGTATTGTTATTAGCATGTTGATAATAAACGCTTGTTTGGTCGTTTTTCTTATTTATTATTTTTTTACTTTTTTAATCATTTATATAAATTTTGATTGATACATATCTTTTCATTTTAAGAGCATTTTGCTTAATGAATAATTTTTTCTTCTTCATAAATTACTGTTAATTTTGCATTTAACTCGTAGTTTAAATATGCTCCAATAAGAAGTGTTGATATTGATCGGAGTTTTTCTAGATAGCTTTCTGACAAAAGGCGTTCATTCGATTTCAAGAACATTGAAAATCATTTAATATGCAAATCTGATGTTTCTGAAGATATATTCTATGGATTAAGGAATTCTTTAACCCTCTAAGCTTTGAGCCCCTGATCACTAAGTTTACAGAAATTTCCATGTTATGCATTACTTTTTCATTAAATAACGTGAGAAAAATCGTTTTTTAAAAAAAAAATTTTTAACATCATGAAAGGATAATAACATTGAGAGGGTTAAGTAATACCTTATCTCTTATCCATTTTGCTTTAATAAATAAGATTTGTTCTGATAAAAAGAACTTTTATTTAAAGAACTCATTTGCAAGTTTATAAAAGCCTCAAATCACTAAGTTAGAAATTACTAGACAACAAGAGCTAACTCTTTTTGATCAGTTTCATAAATGATAATAATTCTGTTCATAAACGATAATAATTTTATTAAAATTCCGTCAAGAAATATCTGTTTAAATTTTGGAAGATTTCTGCAAGTAAGAAAAAAAATATTACACAGAATAAATTCATATGTTTTTATTATTTTCAAAACAAGGAAAAATTTAAATTTAATTAGATTTTATTTTGAAGAACAAATTTCATTCTGGCTTGACATGGTTTCAAGGATGTAACAAAACTGTGTACATTAACCTAAACACATAAAAACAAATCATAATAGCTTATGAGAAGCTAACATAATACATTACAAAACAAATTATAACAAAGGCATAAATAAACACTAGCAATCCATGTATAATATACAAGGTACTAAAAATATAGTTACAACTTAGGCATTCCTGAGTTTGACAAGATTCATGAAATAAAAACTTGGAGGAATAAAAAAAAATTTTTTTTTAGGAAACTATATAGTGAAATTAACTGATAATTGGCACATGAAAATAAAACCGAAAGTTTGATCATTAAATGTAGGCGGTAAATGTAAAAAATATTGGTTTCACTTATAATATTTATCACATATTTTGTTTCTTGGCAGTGTTGGATAGCATTGAACACATACATGGTGTATAAATTAACTGGCAGTAAGTGGAATGAAAAAAAAGTTTGTAAATACACCAGTAACTATGTATGTTATTTGTGATGAAGTGAATCTTCTGATGTTATTTGTCAAGCATAATTTGCCTATGGCGCTATTGAATACTGCAGTAACTTAAACCATAGAAACATTAATAACTTAAATTAAGAGAGGTTTTGCCAATTACAATACTATTTACAAATCACTTAAGAAACAGTTCATTTTTATACAATCACTTGTACATCAAATACAAAAAAGATTTATACAGTTTAAATACATACATACATTTATAATACCTTGATTAACTTAAGATTTCAATAAGTACTCTGTACAAAATACAATGAGGAAAAAAAGCTAGGGTATAGAATGAGCTACATAAAAGTTTTGATTTTAAAAACAACTTGATTTTATTTGTCATTAATGCATATCTTTTGAATAAAACACTTCTGAACAATTTTAGAATTTCAACATTTAACATTATTTATTAATTATACATAATCATGAACAATTTAATGAATTACACTATCATACAAAATCATAAAGAATGACATAAAACTTTTGTTTCATCAAAAAATTCTTAGTATTTTCTCATTATTAGCCTTAAAAGAAAACTCAAATAATATACAAGTACTGAATATAAGAGTCAATAATTATTTCATTCAATTTAAATAAGAAACTAATAACAAGAATAAAAAGCTTTTTATTGATCAGTATTTATATGATTAGGAGTTTTCAATCAATAATTTATTTCATAGGTTGCTTGTAATAATGCAGAAGAAATGTTAAATAACATCATCTATAATCATAAAAATTAAAATATAACAACTATGTTAAGAGAATTTATTTACTACTTTCTTATGTAATAAATAATAATTGAAACTTTAAAATACTGTATATACTAAGTTTACGAAGCAATATTTTCCCTTAATGGTGAAGCAGAAAAGAATAAAATAATTAAAACAATAGAAAATGGTAATTTTTTTTTATTAGTATCTTAGGAGCAAAATTTTAATTCTTACACATTACTTCAGAAGTCATATAATTGAATAATCTAATTTTTATATTCTTGATTTGTTGCTAAGAAAAACATATTTTTCTACCTTTTTTCACACTTCAACTTTATATGAAAAATTCATATAAAGTTGATATGCATAATTTTATTTTATAATTAGTAGAGCTAAAATAAGTATTTTTCATGACAATAAAATGAGTAGAACAAAAAAGAAATTATTTCATTCTATGTATCTACCTAAACATGAAATATTATAGATGTACCTATTTATGGTTTAAGTTTTAAGAAAGGAAAAAATATATATAAAAGGGAAATAAATATTTATAAAAGAAGATTTAGTTCTACATTTCTGGACTTTAGAAAATTGCAACTAATGCTTCATTACAAAAATATCAATATATTCTGTTTTCTATCTCATTTCCTATATGGATCTAATAGGGAATGTTTATATCTAATAATCAGTCAGAAAGGTAAATATTAAAAAAAACTAATATAAAAACAAATTAAAAACAAAACAATGACTTATATTCAACACTGTAGCAATATAGCAAATGTTATTAGCTTTAGTAGGTCACCTCTAAGGGGTTGTTCATGACCAAATACTGAGTCACAAAAATAAATCTAGAAAAATTCTTTAGTTTCAATCATGAAACATTTTTCGTCAGGCAGGACTAAAAAAAAATATTAATTACATATTTTAATTACATCCTTTAATTATTTACATCATTCAATTATTTCTTAATAAAAAAGATATTTTGATTGATTTAATATTTTCTTGCATTTATGGCAATTAATTTTACTAAGTAGACTATAAATACAATCAAATTTTATAAACAAATATAGAAATTACAAATGAAAAATTGTAAGAACTGATAATTCATTTATTTTACATGGTCTATGAACATAAAATTTTAGTAAGTTGTCAAAACAAAATAAAAAAGGTGAGAAAAACTGACAACCAAGATAAATTCACCATAAAAAATTGATATTGTAAATATATAAAGATAATGTGGGGTAAGATTGGGTAGCTATAGATTTGAATGCCTGTTGAAGCTAAACTGTTCGACCTAGGAATCTGTGAAATTTAATAATATTCCTTGTTTAGTTTTATACAATATATCGTTCCTAAAAAGTCATAGATCTGCTACTTCTTTGTAAACAATTCTTCAAAAAAAAATATGGAAAATGGGAAATTTTGAAATACTAGATTTTCATGAAAATAGCAGACATTTCTATATTATATGACAATTTAAAAAAATTATGCATGTGATGTAGTCAAAAGGACAGGGGAGAGATAATTGTCTTAGGATCTAATGAATGCTGAGGGCTTGATCAAAATTTCTTAAAAACATCTTTATTAAATGGAATTTTTTCTTTAAAAAAGTTTTTTTTATCTATATGAAACTTCAATTTTGTATTAAGGGTCTTCAAAAAAATTTCACAAAATATGAAAATAAGGCATTATGTGCTTTGAGGAAGGGCGTCGCAAAAACGTTTGCTCAGTCTTTGATGGATATTCTAGGCCCGGCATATACACACCCCGGCATCGGAGAGGGGGCGAAACAAGTGTAGTTGCCGGTCTTACCCTGAATAGAAAGATTATCAAAACCTTACAGAATAGTGCTACTAGTGGCTAATGGACTAAATCCTTATAATTAGTTAGGGTATGAATCTTTAGTAAACATATAATTAAATGGAGTAAAAATAATTTTGTAACTATTATGATAAATAAATTAAGATAGTTCAAAAAACAAAAGAACATTAGAGAGTTAAATAAGCTTATCTACACAGATGCCGTCAACAAGATCCCAATATGGTAGGTTTTTCTCCTTGACTAGTAAAGTGTAATTTAGAATTTGTTCACTAGAAAACAGAATTAGTTTTGACACAATCATAACACCTGGTCTCACCCCATTGATCCCTATATATGTGTGTGTTACTTTAATAATTAGAATGCACTCATTTTGCTCTATCCACAATGATCCTATGCATTACATCAATAAAGACTTCTTTCTTTGTAGAAATAGGAATTCTTTCTTTGTAGAAATAGGAATGTACTTGGTGTTATAGTTCTCCAAAATCAAAAAGTTACATTCTACTTAAATTTTAAAGGCGCAAAGCTATTACAATATTTAAATAATGAGCAAATCTTTAAATTATAATTTATTATTAATATACTATTAGTATTATAATGTGATTCAAGCATATAAAGTCGCTTACAACATCGTATATAAATGCATATGTATATATGATTTGATCAGTTTTTTTCTACTTCATCAAAATCAAACAAAGTAAGAAAAATTCTTAATTCTTTAGCACCACTTTTAGATCCACTGCTGTTTAAAGAAACTGAAGTGTGTAAAAAATTTATGTAACTTTTTATAGAATAAGTTAATGCAGTTGAGTAAATATTTTCAGAATAACAGTTAGAACATATACTGTTAAATATATAAAAAAATCTTTTATGAGAAGCTGTATTTTGTGATTTAGTCTAAAAACTATTTATTTTTATGCCAGATTCTATATAGATCAAATTTTCAATTAAAATTGACAAGATAGAAAACTATGTTTTTCAATACTCGACTATCTGAAATTAGTGAGTTCCAATAAATTTAAATACTGAAGTTTTCACTGAATGCTTCGTAAAAAATTAAATATTTAGGGTATTAACATTTAAACAAAGGGAAACTTAACATAGTCTTATTCTAGACAAAGTAATTTGTAAACATACTATTAATCTGATTAAAAACTCTTTAGAATGAAACCCAAAGTGTTGAAGAGCAGAAAAACTTAATACGTACCATCATTTTGAATAATTTTTATAAACAAAATTTAAGAATATTTCAAGGGCTAATTGAGAAGAAAAACAACAATATTAGATTAAAAATATGTGGAACATATAATTTCTAAATTCATTAATGCTTACAATCAAAAGCTAGCTTATTCAACAATTTCAAAAGAGTGCATTCAATATTTCAAACAACATTTACAGATTAAAAGATAATTGTAACGATAAATTAAATACTTTTCAAATACTTTAACACCAAACAAGTGAGCTCAAAAGTTAAAAATATATATCTACACTTATAAATTCATGTAAGATATTTGAATATGCAAATATATTGGATATCTTTATATAAGGTTACAAAAATATATTTCATACTTTTGTACTTTAATGAATTCATTCTTGACAAAACTTTGAATAAATAGAGAGCTTATGAATTATCACATACTCCTATTATTCTTTTCATTAATTAATCCAAATTTACCAGAAACCTTTTCAAAAGCTAAACATGAAGATATTTCTTTGTTTCCTCAAAATCACTGTTCTTTTTCTTTACACTGTGCCCAGTCCCTGTGTTGTGAAGCAAGCTGTGTAGTGAATATTTTAAAATTATATCATTCTTAAGTTAATTCTCAAAAATTAATTTAAAAATTTTATTTTTCATAACAATAATGAATGGTTAAGTTTTCTTAGCCAATTGTTAAAATCTGTACATTTTCACAACATGCACAAAGGCATAGCAACAAGAGCAACACTGACAACTTATTTACAAATAAACTTCTCTCAGCAGATCATATTGACTTATATACATTATCTTCATGAACTGTACAATGCCATTGAAAATTTATTTGGAAATTTCTCCAAAACTACACAGTTTTGATAGAATTTACAAATAAAATTAACTGTACAAACATTAAATACAAGACTTAACAGTGCAGACTGCAACTTTTTCTTCATTACTTGGAACAAGTAAATAGAGTTTGAGTCATTTGATACAAGCATAACTTGAAACAAGTATTACTTGATACAAGTATTTGCTAAAAGTTTTATGAATAATAATTAAATACTGAATGATAAATGGCAACTAGGCTTGTTGACGTGGCAGTAATTCCTAGCAAATGATAGTGAATGATGAATATACAAATGAAATGGCACCCTCATAGTGAAGTACTGGAATGAGGAACCTAGAAAAAAAATCATTATAAGGTTTAAAAATAATTGCCAAGAACACAATCAAACTTGAGTTAAATAGCAAAATAGAGCTTACAGGGTGAAGTATGAAATTATCATAAACTTCCATGAGATCTTCCATTGCGAATTCTTCTAAAATTACAAAATCTTCCAGTATAGAATTACTTTTCTTAGCACAATCCAGGCAATGTACTAAATGCTTTTTATCAATTTCTTTAACAAAAAGAATATTGAAGACTTCAACCTATAAAGTATAAAATATTGTTAAACTTTACCTTCATAAAAAATATTTTTTCAAAGAAAAGCAATAATTATTGTATAAATATAACAATCTACTAAATTATTGCAGCCTTTATGTATAATCAAGTTGGATTATTTATGGTCTATGTATTTTTCTTGAAATCAGTAACTACACACGCTTAACACATCAGTGAAAAATTGTACCTCAATTTTTTTTTAGAAGATAAATAATTACCATCATCAGAAAAATCCAGTCATTATTGAGAATAAAGAGAGCTTGTGACTTATCAAAAGCCCTGTAGTCTTAGGATAGAGGGTTAAGATAAACTATCCAATCCCTTTACTCCAAGCTTGAATGGCTACATTTTTATACTTGACTGAACTCTCACCAAATGTCAGAGCAGGGATATTTTCTTTTCCATTATTTACTATTATCATTGTCAGAAAACAAAAAGCTACTTTTGATGGAGATGTTATGGCTAACTAGGAGACACGAGGGCAATTAACTTTGCTAAAGGCATCTTTACAATAAAGTGGTTTTATTTTCAGACTCTAAATTTTAATTTAGAGACCGATTTCATTCATTTCTCATTCAGACAACTAGATTAAAAGCAATACCTGAGAATATCCCTAATTCTCAGGTCTTCTTAATATAGTCTCTGGGAAGAGATCAATAAATTGTTTTTCAGTGGACCCCCAAGACAAAGCAATATTTTTGGTACCAATTGGACCTGATCAGTTGAAAGTATAAGGTACTATGTGATGGGAAGCTTGGCATTGTGTGGGAACTCAAAGGTTAATTAGCGTTTTAAGTTTTGCAAGAACTATATTTTCTTTCTACCCCAAGAAATTAAAAAAAGTTATATACAAAAATATCTAACTGATTTTGATTAAAGTTGGTTTCAATAATCATAGAAATATCTACTAGCCTTTAACAGTCTTATTTTAATTTTCTCATTTTGAATTGATATTGTACTCAGATATTTAAATTATTTTACAATCTCAAAAGTATCAAGACATATTCTCAGAAGTGACACATTATATTTTATTTATCACAATTGCATATTTAGTCTTATTTTTATTGATAGTTGGAGTCATCTTCTCTACTACATGCTCAATATAATCTGCAAAATCTGTTGTTGGATTGTTTTTGAAAAGGCACATTACATACTTTTTTCCAAATTAAAATAATTTACAGATGGAAGTCCACATTAAATGAAAACTTAATATGTTTCAACTTAATTTATGCCTACGAAACAATTGAAACAACAAATATACTTACTTCACAGTTTGTACAATAATGGGCAGGTTCTAGTTTTGCTTTTCCATGCCATTTTACATCTTTCTTTAATTCTTTCAGGAGTTCCAAAGTTAGCTGACATTGTCTTAATGTTCTTAAAAGGCAGTACCTTAAAAATTATTAAGAGCATATAAATAAGAGGTAAGAGAAATTGGCAAAGAAATCTAAACTACAAAACAATATTAATGAAAAAATACAAAAATAAGTTTAATTAAAATGAAAAAAAAAACCTACTTGATTTGCTCAAAAAGTTTCCTATCAGAAAGCTTTAGATTACGTGCAAGATTCCAAGTTAAATGAGCCATTGGGACAATGCTTTTGTAATTTTCAAGTTTATTCCACTCATACCTTTCCACAGCCAGCATGTATTGCTTAGCATGCAAAGGTCCTACATTCCAGGCAATATTATTGCACCAACCCTGGAAAATATACACATGGTATTTTATTTGCCATAATACAAAAATAGATTACAAGCATATAGGTAGCAAAAGGTTTTTAAGAGCAAAATCACTTAAGAATGCCGAAACTTTGACTTCAATGCTTATCAAAAAAATCTGTGTTTCCTATCTAAATACATCTGTAAATAATTAGTAGAGTAAACTTTACGCAGTGCAATTATTTTTCTGATATGGTCCCCATTAACTATAGTTACTCAAATAGCATTTAATAAAAAAAATTGCAATATTTTTATTTAAATTATCAGCTTAACATTCCATGTTATAAAATTCAATTAAAACTTTTGATTCAGTTCTAATTGCATTAGACATAATGCCTAATTATGTCAGCCTATTTATGTTTCTAGCGTTAGTTGCAAAAGTTTTTTTAATGGGGACCTAAAGAAAAAGTTCTTTAAGGGACCAAATCACAACGTACTGTGTATCTAATCTAATTAAAACAACATCAAGATTATCTTCAGTTTTTTCTTTGTCAAAATATGTTATTGTAAAATATGTTTTTCAATGAAGGTTTGATTTAGGTTTTTACAATTAACTTAATCAATAAGTAGTAAAGCTCACTTGTGATTATTATTGGAGATTTGCTTTTTCATAAGGATTACTCTAATGTATTACTCTTTCATAAAAATACAGTGAAATAGATAAATACAGATGAAGCAATACTAACCACAGCTTGAACCCAATGAACACAGCCTGCGTTTACAAACACCATATCCCCGGGTTTTTGTTGGAATCTATAGACTGGTATATGTTCATTATAGAGATCTTCAAGAATTGGCCACCATGAACCATGAAGAAAATTTAGACCATTTCTAAAATAAATAAAAAAATAATAATCATAACAACACAGTTTTATTTGTCACAAAAAGAATGATAATGAACAAATGAAGTGTAGCATTTTATTAAAATAGCCGTTGAAAGTTACAAATCTTATTCAAAACTAAATTAAAATCAAAAANAAAAAAAAAAAAAAAAAAAAAAAAAAAAAAAAAAAAAAAACTGCAATTACAGAAAGGAAAAGTGTGTATAATACAAAAGAAAAAGAACTTAAATCTGTTGTACTTCTGAAAATTGCAATGCTTAAATATAGTCTTTAATTTTTATTTATCATTTCATATTATAATTTACCTTTGACACACTTGTACCAAAAAACTCTTATTAGAACATAAAAAATATTTTGTTGAAGAAAATACCTTTCACATAATTTATGTATGGCTCCCCAGTAAGGTTCTGCAACTCCAAACCATTCACAATCACCTGGCCCAATATTAAGGTTCACAGAGCAAAAATTGTTATTTTCTTGGTGACCTGTTAAATTAGTAATTAAAAAAATTAAATTAGTAATTTTAAATTAGTAATTAAAAAAATTAATATGATAAAATTATACAAGCAAATACATTTTATTTTAATATTAATATTTTACCTGGGGTGCGACTGCCAGGAACTTTCATGTATAATTGACAGCTATTCATGCCTAGAATAACGTGGCCAACATGGCTCAGCATATTTCCCGCAGAAACCACCTTAAATTCAAAAATAATAACTCATGAATAATATAAGATATTACAAAGAAAGTACACAATTGTTCAATTTTACTCATTTTACATATCATCACAAAAGAAAATCTGCATTTAAGCATTATTTTTAAACATCACATAACTTTGCATGTTCTTTACATACATATAACATATGTACTTGACCTCATAAAAAAACATTGTATTTATGGTCAATATCTATGGCATGAAAAATATATAAAATTAATTTTCCTGAAGTCAGTTGGAGAATATTCAGACAGGCTTCATTATCATTAAAAATTATTAAGTTTTCATTAGATTTAAAAGAAAAAAAAGAAAAAACTCCTGCCAGATCATTTATTTATTACTGTTGTATGTGCAACTATTAAATAACTTATTAACATCTTCCAAATTTTGTAGAAACACAATAATATAAATAAAAAAATCGAAGAAAAAATACATACTCTGAAAAATGTAGGAAGCTTTGCAAGTTCTTGTAATTGGGGTCTCCATTTTCGTTCATCAGATAAATCCACATTAGTTCCAAATTTAATTGTCTTAAAGAAACTATTTCGTCTTCCTTTCTTGCTTCTGTTTTTAAAAAAGAAATAATAATTAATAAAAAGAAAAAGGCTAATAAATAATTCTTTTTAACATATTTTTGGCTCCAATTGCATCTCAAGAAAAATACATCAAACATTTAAGTTGTGCTTAATGTTAACTTAGTATTCAAAAATGAAATGTAGAATTGTTAACCCACCAGGCATAAATTCCAAAGGAAAAATTGTAGCGAAATATCTCTACTTACTTATTTTTCCATGAGGTAAAACAAATACCCTTTTTTTCTCATGGTTTAAGAAGGTTAAACAATCTATTATGTTTTTAAAGTACTATAGTATAGATAAGAAATTTTCAAGATATCAACAGATTGAGTTTTTAAAAGAAAATTTCTGAACTAAATCAGTATTTAAAATGAAAAAAAAAAATTAAGTTTATTAAACTGATTAGTTATAAATTTTATAAAAGAGAAATTTGTTTTACGCCATTATCAGTGTGCTAACTTTTACTAATAGACACTTGTAAACAAATAAACAAGAATCTTTGTCAACTGAATATCTTCCCAAAATAATTCCCACAGTTTTTATTTTCTATAGTCAATTGAAAATGCACCGATCTCTTAAAATGTCTGTTCTTCCAAAGCCTACAAAGGTAAGATACAGAAGCATACATATCTTAATTACATACCGTTGGTCTTAAGGTATTTTTAATCAATGTTTTGCTATAGGCTAATTTTAAAATTCAGTAGGAATAAAATTTAGAATATTTTGTATTAAATAAGACTATACATTTATTTCACTTTTCTTTCTAGCTTACTATGTATTGCTACCCTTAAGATAGAGGCAAAATTCTGTCATAATCAACGTTAAAAGTTCATAATTAGGTTTAAAGTCAATTAAGTGGGCAATTTAGAGCAGAATGGGAAAAAAAACATACAGTGGCAGTAAGGGTGGGAAACATAGAGGTAGTTCAATAATACATTAAACAAAGAAAGAGTTAGCCTGTTTTAAGACTGAAACAAGGTGTTATGGTATAGGTAATTTCATTCCTTCATCTGAAACATGCTCAATCAGTAAGAACAAGATTTTTCCTTAAAAAAAGACAATGTATTAACAGAGAAATGATGTTTCTTAACTATACAAAGACTACAGCATAAGAATTCAGTCCTTTTCATTTACTTTTACAGTGCAGTACTAAAATCATCTGAACCAAAAATTTTTGAAAATCAAAGCAGTTAAATCTGATGATTATAAGATTAAAAATTAATTTTAAGAGATATTCTCATCACAGATCTCGAGATTTTTACAAATTTGTATTTTTACAAATTAGTGTGCCATTTCCTTGATACCCATTTAGAAATTTATTTATTTAGAGCTTTGTTAATATTAATAAACTTTTATATCAAATTAAAAACATAAATATAAAAAATTTACATGAAATGAAACATTCCATTATTCAGTCAACATAGGTAGGGGGAAAAAAATTTCACGAAAAAAAAGAGTTTTTAATCCTTTGGATACTATACTTTGCATGTTAAAACTTTCTGTACTAGCATTAAATAAAATGTGAATGTAATCAACACCAATTGCAAACAAGTTGTTGAATCAAGTATATTTGATTTTTTTTCCCAATATGGTCAAGTGTTTAGAAAAGAAGATAGAAAAATTATAAATAGAAGACAGTAAAAAAAAGTGACATCATGAAATAAGCTGATCAGCCATAACAATTTGAAATTAAATGAGAGATACATGTGCCTATAATACTTTAATATATTCATAATAATAAATCTAGCGGTTTACTAAAAAAAGAACTTCAACACAAATTGACATTAGAACGTACGTATTTACAGATTAAGTACAAAGAAAAGCTTGTTAAGACAGAGTTACAGTTCATAATTGGTAATTTTTTTTTTTTTTTTGGCAAAATAACTTAATTGGTGATAAATTGTAAAATTTGATAAACTCTTGATTAAAATTTTTTAAGGCTTTACAATACATTTGACAAACTAGTTACTGCTAAAAATTACTTTTGCTATAGCAAAATCTCAATTTTCAGTTTCTTATTACGATTCCTATATATAAGCATTTCTTCCCTAAATAGTAGGCCTTACATATTTGACACAAATTAAATGTAGTAATTGCCGTATGACACAAATAATTTGGAAAATCACTATTTAAATGTTTAGAAATTTAATGTAAGGAAAATTATACTTTGATGCCAAAAAATTTAAAAAGAAATAATTTCTAAACTTCATTGTACTGAAGCATGAAAGAAGTAAGTTGTTAATTAGGCAGAAATCAATCTAACACCATTTATACTTAAATTCTAAATTTTTAACTTAAATCAGCCATCACAGCAGATATTTTCAAAAAATTCAGAATTAGGTTTATGCACTGTAGAAATGAATAGATAAAAACTGATACCATATTATTTGCTGACAGCTTTTTTTTAATGGTATTTTCAATAATTAAACTATTACAGTAGTTCTCAGTGTGTTCTATTGATTTAGCCGGATATTAAAATAATATATTTGAATAATATGGGTTAGTAACGGATTTCAATATTTTCACTACATGCTAAAAATTAATTAATCAATAATCTTCTAATAAGAATGCCCCAACTTTGGCAAAAAAAAAGAGTATAGAAATCTATATATATTAGAATCTATAATTTTTTTCTAAAAATAAAAAAAGAACACTGGGAATTAGTAGAAATAAATTAAGCATTAGTTCAATATTTTTAGAATTTGCCTTCAGGTTACATACAAAATTCATATAAGAAAATTGCAGAACAAATAGACTTATAGCTATGGAAATTATATTAGAAGGGTGTGATCATCTTTTAACTTCAGTGAGTTGACACCCACGTGGTTACTATGAATCTATTTGCTTATTTTTATGTCACAAATTGCTTATACAAAGATCTGATTTTATTTATTATATTAAAAAATTTTCCTCTCATAAAGCTAAAGTGAGAAATATACAATAGATATGCTTTAGAGATAACAAAGAAAAGCATGATTAACATTTAACCAAAAAATATGTTATCTACATTCTAATTTATACGAGGGTTGTAAATTAAATAGTGGCAACTTAACCTTGAAACTCACAGAAGGGCGGGCATGCGCAAATAGGATATGGGAGCGGTGAGGTGGCGCTGTTGTCGATGTGTAGAGTGCAAAAAAACAGTCGATCTGCTTAGAAGGGTAGTTGTTGCGTGGCGTTGAAGTGAGGAGTTTTGTTTCCATCGCTCTAAAGCATGTTTTCCAAAGGTGATCAGCGGTCGTGGCTTTGGCACCGGTATGCACCCACTTGGAGAGATACCACAATGAAGGAGACGCATTTTTGCAGCGTATTGTCGCCATTGATGAGACATGGGCACGAGCCTATGAGCCTGAATTAAAGCGTCAATCAAATGAATGGCGTCACCAAGGTTCGCCACGTCCACAGAAATTTCGACAGGAACCCAGTCGGGTTAAGGTTATGCTGATTGTGGCATATGACTGGGACGGTGTGATTCTCACACATGCTGTACCTGAAGGACAAACTGTCAACGCAGATTACTATTGCCAATTTCTACAGCATCATGTGATGTGGCTATGAGACGCAAACGTTCATTGCACAACAATCTCCCTATCGTATTGCATGACAATGCTCGTTGCCATGTCGCAAACAAAGTCACTCTCCTATTGCGACGGTGGTAGTGAGAAATCCTGGAACACCCTCCCTAATCACCCGACATGAGTCCTTGTGACCTTGATCTGTTTTCGAAGTTGAAGAAACCTCTCTGAGGTCACCAATTTCATGACGTTTCATCTGCACTCCACACAGTAGGGCGCTCGGTGGCTCACATCAACACCTTGCCACTGGTCTACAAGGCTTCCCGACATTTGGCAAAAGATTATAAGCTTTGCTGGTGATTATACAGAAGGCATGTAATGCAATTGTACTTGTAAGTTCATTAAAAATTGATTTATACCTATGTTGCCATTACTTAATTTACAACTCTCGTATATGAAACTTTAATGTAAGCATAAATAATTTAATTAAACCTTAATTTCTGCACTGTTATAAAAATGAAAAAGAATTAAAATTTTATTTGTTAAAAAAAGGTAGGAAAACTTGAGTAGGAAAATAATTAAAATATCACTAAAATATTTTAAAGGAAAGAAATTGTACCTAGAAGCTGATGAGTTAGAATCACTATCTGATTCTCGCACTGCATGGTTACATGNAATTAAAATTTTATTTGTTTAAAAAAGGTAGGAAAACTTGAGTTGGAAAATAATTAAAATATCACTAAAATATTTTAAAGGAAAGAAATTGTACCTAGAAGCTGATGAGTTAGAATCACTATCTGATTCTCGCACTGCATGGTTACATGAAGCTTTATCTTGTTCCTCCTAAAAATATAAAATTCAAAGATTAATAATTTGAATTCTTCGAAAAATATTCACGTTTAAAAATATAAATGTTAAATTTCTTAATAATAATAAAATCTGCAACATGAAGCAAAAAACAAAATTTACTTACACGTAATGACTCCTGGAATGAAGATGCTTGATACTGAGCGTAACGAGCAATGGATGTATGAGATCGATGACTTTCACAGCGCCAAACTTGTCGTTTCCGTTCTGGATCCCAATTTTCATCAGAAGCTTGCATTAGTTGTGTTCTAACTTCAATGGTATGATCAGGATTAGCCTCAACTAAAGTTTTGGTGGAGAATAAACCAAGGTCTGAAAATAAAAACATTCAATAAGAAAATAATGAAAATATAAATGAGAATAAAGAACTCAACAGTGCACGAAGCAATATAAAATGTATTTAAAAAATCAGTGTTTAGAAAAACTGTATCATGTCAAAAATAAGATTGATAGTTAATTTTCTTTATTAGTTCAAGTTTTGACAGCATAAATATTAAAACTAAATATTTTTATTATTCTCAGATACAGAAACTCACAATGTATTTTAAAAATCAGTGTTTAGAAAAACTCTATCATGTCAAAAATAAGATTGATAGTTAAGTTGTTGTCAGTTAAGTTGTTAAGTTAATGTTAAGTTGTCAGTTAAGTAGTTAAGTTGATAGCTAAGTAAGATAGTCTTGGTTCTAGTTTTGTCAACATAAATATTAAAACTAAATATTTTTATTATTCTCAGATACAGAAACTCACAACCTCATACATAGAATTCATGTTTACTGTAATTAAAACAGAATGAGTTTAAAGCTACACACTCTAAAGTTTAATGGTCCATAAAAGCAACAATATGAGAACTTGAGTAAATTATCACAGAGATTAGTTGAAATGTTTGCTTTTATTTTAAGCAGATAAACTTCAGACATAACAATAAAGGTTCAAAATGCCATTTCCAGGCTTCGTAGTTGCATAAAAATCAGAACACAATCTGGTCATTTTTTGGTATGATTTGTCAATCAAGACATTTGAAATATATACATACCAGTTAATTTTTAAAAATGGGAAACTAACAGCTAAAAAAATTGAGCAATCCTCCCTCAGCTTTAAAAATTTCATTTTGTGTAAAAGACAACACTTATTCTAAAACAACTAGGACTTATAGTGTATCAAAACTAATACTATTACAAAATGAGTATTGAATTGCCCCCCAAATTTAGTGACAATTTTCATGATTTATAGAAATAATAACTAGGATCAGAAAATACAGTGCAATACAACATTACTTCATATTTTTAGATATTGAAGACTGTTAGTGAAAACTGGAAATTTTTATTTTCAACAAAAGTTAAGCAAAATTAAAAGCATTGAGGGAAAAAAATAGTTTTCATAAGAAGGAAATTTGCTGGAAGAGTGGCACCTTTGCCTTTTCTCTTATCAGGGGTCTGTCTAGGTTTTTTTTAAGAGGTACTTATTTTGTGAAAATGTAGACACAATTTATGATAATTTAAAAGTTATATTAAAAAATCAACACAAAAGGTAAAATAAGAAAATATTTTCAAAAATTGTCACTACAAATAAAAATAATTTAAGATTGTAAATTTTATATATATTTTCCCAATATATTCAAAAACAATTTCACTTAAGTTGATTTTAATAAAAACATGCATCTACCAGCACTAAAAGTTATTTTCATTATGAGAAAATTTTTGACTGGGTCACACACAAAGTTTCACAGAGAAAAAAATATTTCACAGAAAAATAAAGGTCTACTAGAATAAATTTAGAATAATGTTTAAAATAAAAGTTCCAATTTCGACTTCCTTTAAAGTTTACAGAGAGAGAGTCTCATTGTTTCATTTAAAAAACCTTGCCATAAAAATGGCACTATTTGACCAAACACATGCTATCTATTCGCAGAAGACAGCTGGAGGAAAAGCTGTATAGGGAGGAAAAGTGCTTTTCTTAAAAAACCAGATGGTAAGCAAATTCTCCCGCTACAATTCTCCCGATAGCAATTCGTGGGAGGGTTTCATTGCTAGTCAAAATGGGTAATTAACCCGGATGAAGCAATTAATGCCTAAATTCGGTAAACTTGCAAGGAACTTGTCTGATGCAAGCTTAGCATAAATTTTACTTCTGATTTTTCTTTGTTTTGATTTGATATTGTTTTCTTTTTTAAATATATAATACGATGTTTCTTTTCAAGTCGCCTGCTAATTTATACTTAATTTTTTTTTTTTAAAAAAAGTTGAGATTTTAATCAAATATTATATTTAACGAATGTCAAGTTTTCTGAAAACATATTTTTAATTGAATGTGGTTATGCATCTGCTTTTCTTTATTTTAGTTTTTAATTGATACATCCCACAATTGATTACATTTCAGTAACGCAATTTAGCACATGTTCAAAAATTACCTATGGCGAATCTTTAAATCAATCAAAAATAAATAAAAATTAATAAATCCATTACTAAAGAAAATATTAACTCTTTTGTTTAAAATTAGTTACCTTAGGGTTTGGAATCCTTTTAAAAATTAAAAATTTCAAAAAATTGGCTACATGTTACCCAGCATACTTGCTGAATGAATAACTTACCAACTTTTAAAACACTTGTTAAACCACGTATCACAGCAATGGGATGGGCCAAACAAAATTCTTGTAACTGAGGTGAGAATGCATCTTTCTTGTTTTCCAACTGAAAAATAGAAAATAATATTGTTTTTTAAAATTATAAGATTAAAAAGTAGTCAAATTTTATGATTATTTAAGATTTAATAATTTATGATAATTTTAAATAATTCTAATTAACAGATAAATCAATATACAGTGACAATAAAACTTAACATTAGACTTATTAACTGTGATCATTAATATTTAATGTCATAAAATTCTTTTTATCAATACATATTTTGTGATCAAATAAATTTTGATGCTTTGAATTAAAATGTTTTACACAAAGAATTTAACAAGCTCTTAAATCCAAAATTCTGGGCCAAAATATAAATTTAATCCATGAAAGATTTGTAAATATGGCAAATAAGCGATTCACTTAACTCTTAGTATGCCATTTTGTATTAAAAAAAAAACAAACTTTATGAATATCAAGCAGCAACACTCACTTGTAAAAAATATCTCTGTTTCTAAAACTATTTTAATTTTAAATTAGCCTTTCCACTTTAAATTGACTTCCAGTTAAAGATTTTGAACCATAAAAATCTATCCAAAATTACTATTTGTCTTTAAAAATTATAATGCATATTTGAGTGTTATACAGGTATGCAATATGTTAGAATGTATAAATCGGTGCATTAAAATTGCCTACAATTCCACTAACTACTTCAGTTTTTTAAAATATTGCTTTAAATATAATAATAATTTTCTTGTACTTTTATAAAAATTGCAGAGCTAGTTAATTTTTCACTATATGTTTGCTTCTAAAATATATAATTTGAATGATTTTATGAGTTAGACACATAGCTAGGTGGCAATATTTAAGAAGGGGGTCCAAATATCTTTTATACAATGTCTGACTATATATATACAATCGGACTTCTATATAACGAACTTCCATTTTGCGAATTTCTTTATTTTGCGAATTTTTTCAAGGAACCTAGAACATTTAGGAAATTTTTTTGTAAAGTAACTTCCAAATAGAGAAGTGAATTTTCCATTTAACGAACTTTTCTTTAAGATCCACTTTCCCTATCTCCCAAAATATTTCAGAACATTTTAAACTTGTAAATGCATTTTATGGGGGAAATAACCATGAATTGAATTTCGAAGCCACTTAACTTTTAGAGAAAGCAGTAAAATCACTTTCTGTCTTTGTTCACATTTCAAACGAAAAACTCTAAAATAAACAACAAAATAAACAGTAGTAGTTTTTATCAGTAGCAATTAAACTTTAGAATGCATGTGGTAATGTATGTTTAAAATTACTTTTTATAATAAATGCAGCTATAATTTTATGCATAAATTTAGCTTTTTTTAGTTGAAAATGTATATAGCATGATTGCGTAACACTGGATAATGTTTTGTTCTATTCTTGCTTTCCATGCAGATTTCTTTTATGATTAAGATTTATAAAATAAATAGTAGATACTACTATAGAATAAAAAAGGTGCATCCATTGCTATTATAATTATATCTAGTGTTTATGAATTTGAAACATGTATTGCGTTGTTTAAGTATTTCTAAAGATGATTTTCTATTTAGCGAATTTTCCATATAACGGGATTTAGCGACTTCGTTCAAGACCTTCTTAGCTATGTCCCTGTTCATGAGTCTTGACTTGTACATAAATCTTATCTTTTATTTAATTAATACAATTACCTGTTATAATTAAAGAGTATTGACATATTCCATATTTTCAAATAAAATAACTCAAAATCAATAAAAAGGCAAAATACTGAAAACAAAACAGAGTTCAGATATAGAAATTAACACAGCAATAAAATATGCCTTAATTTATTGTTATATATCAAAGTTAATTTCTGAACATCAATAATATGCAGGCTAAACAAATTAATTTAAGATTTCATTATGTTATGAAAAGAGTTAAAAACTAATTTAATTTCATTATTAATGTCATAAGATACTCACGTATACACTTGGAGTTAGAGGTAACAACTGTTCTTTAGGTACAGGAGGATAAGGAGGTTCAGGAGGAGATGGGGGTGGACAAAGTTCAGACATTATACTAAAATTTGAGACACCTGATAAGCCATTTTTCACAATTCCTTTGCAAGCAGCTAATAATTGAGATGAACTCATATTAATGGACAAAGAACTTGGACAGAGAAAGTCTCTTGTGACTTTTATTGAATCTAAATCTGGTTTTGATTCTTCTACTTCTATTTTCTCTTTTATTGTTTCTGATTTTACATCCTGTGTTAAATTGGTAAGTTTTGATATTGGCAGTGTAGCATTAGAAGAGTTTTTTAAGGCAACATTATCAGGCTGGGATGTTTCTTTTGATTCAAGTGCACAGTTTTCTTGCAAAAGTTTTTGGTTAGCTTTCTTTTCACTTGAAAATTGCAATAGAAGATCTTCAGCCACTGAAGAGGCAATATCCTTTTGAGAGAGTAATATTTGAAGATCTTTATCACTTATGGCTGTACACAAATCATGCAAAACTACAGTTGGCTGCGATGCACTAGGCAACTATAAAAATGAAACAAATATTCACTTTGTCAAAAATTTAATAACAAATTAAAAAAATGTTACATATTACTAAAAAAAATAAAATTATGTTCTACCATAAAGTGCTAGACTTTGTGGGCAGTTGAGTGTTTCTTAGACTGTTGCAAACATCCCATTGAGCAGTAAATCAGGTACTACATCTACTCATAAATATTTACGAACACAGCACGATTTATCTAAATTGTGTGAAGACGAATTGCATTTTGTAATTTTTAAAAATGTACGATTATGAAAAGCGGTTTGTAGCTTTAAATTGCATGAATGTAAACCGCAATGAATAATTTTAAATTGTGATGAGAATTTTGAATCATGATGAGTGTTTTTATATTGTGATGTGTAAATTTAAATTGTGTGACTATGAATTGGGGTTTTAAATTGCTTAAATGTTATCTTAAACTATGTTTACATAGGTAGGAAGAAGTGCAAATTTTTTTTTCTAGAATTCAAAAAACTTTGAGAAGACCGAAATTTCAATTTTTATTAAATTGAAAGAAAAGCGGAATTCCGCCAAAAAGCAGAAAAACTTTTAACTGAAAGTAATTTTTTTTTACCCATTCATAAATGACACCATGCAATTTCCTCGGTATAAGTATCGTATCCCGCCATATTTTATTAAAAAATTAATTAATGAATATAATACAATTTTAATGAGAAATATAATACATTTTTTAAATCAAACTGAGTCAAAAATTTTAATTTTATATAAAACATGAAATTCATAATTGTTTTTTGTGTTATTAATGTTAGCAATAACTTAGAAATTCGCAAAATGATATCCGATGCTGTTATTCTTCTCGGCTCGTCAGAGATAGTGGCATCAGATTAAGTGGCAGAAATACATTACAAATTTTAACATTAATTCCTAAAACATAAATACATGAAACAACGTACAAGAGGTGTCCCAATTGTTCTTGATCCAGCAAGTTGATGCAATTGAGTGTTTGTGCCCTGTGATGCCTTTGAAAGAACAGAACTATTTGTAGTGGGTGTAACCTGGCAGGATTGTGAAATAAGAGGATTTGATACAGTTCTTGTTTGAACACTGGCCGGATTAGATTGACTAATGGGAGTATTAGGCAAGTCTGTGCTTTTCCCATCTGGATGCATTGGAGATGAAGAGGAACAAACTTGAGAGACAGTGGAATCAGGAGACATATATCCACTTCGTATAGAAGAAGTAGTTGTTATTGTTGCTGTACTTAGTACTTGTGTGCTAGCAGAAGTAGGACCAGGTATCTGTTACACATAACAGGATTATATTTTTACAAGTTCTAAAATAATTTAAATAGTATGCAATAATATAATATTACAATAATTTTCTGATTATATATTAACAAAATGTATTTTTCTTATAATTTTTTATAGAGTTAAAAAAAAAACATAAATTACTTGGCTTTGTATGAGCATTTTTTGTTGCTGCTGATGCTGTTGCATATGCTGATATTGTTGTTGAAGTTGTTGATAAAGATTACGTTGTTGAGAAGATAGATTAGCCTATATTACAGGGAAAATAAATAACTTAATTTTAATTGAAACAACAAAGTAGTTTCAAAAATATTTTAAATTACAATGTAATAAAGTCAATTAATGCTCAGCCAGGAAATCTGTAACCAGAAGTTGCTTTTTTCTTGCACTAAGTTTGTTGTTTTATTGATCATACAACACTATTCATGCTAATTTTCAGTAAAAGTTTAGTCAATTTGAAATTCAGTTAATGTTCAAAAGCAAAAAATTTTTTTATCTTCTTTACTTGCACATGTTTTGAAAACTCATAATGTTTCAACAGAAAATTTTAAATATCAGTATTAATTATTTAAATATTTAATTGTAATTAGAATAATTAAAATATTTTAATTCCAAGATTTCCTCACATGTGCTATTAAATTTTTTCCCTTCGTTTAGCTGTTTAACTGCCAATGAATATTTTACACGCTTTGGTAATTTTCGAAAATAGAAAGTTCAGTTCAATAGAAAAAAACTCAATGAAATGCTTATTCAGAAGAGATATCAAATATAATTTAATACTCAGTATATTTAATGCAAAGTATATTTATTTAGTGGTATATTTTAAACAAATTATTTAAAAACAATAGACAAGTTAAATTATTTTACACTCTAATAACATACAAGAGTAAAAGTTGCATCACTATCTGTTCATTACCTTACAGGATGAAAATCTACACAAATTTCTTGTTTATTAAAATTTCCTACAATTATTTAAGTTAAATATTAATTTGAAACTTAATTTAACCTTTAGATTGAGTAACCAAAACCTAAAATGATACTGCTATATTTACTTACCTACATCATATGAATTTTTTTCAGTAAGTTTAGAATAATAAACAATATAGCAACTAATACAATTATTTATTATGACAAATATAAGATGTTTTTAACGAGGTAAAAAAATTAAACCTATTTAATAATTAAAATTTAGATAGTGATTAAAATTTAAATATAACCCAAAATAAAAATAAACAATCTTAAAAAATAAAATATATTTTACATGTTATAAGACACAAATCTTACTTGATTTTGTTGAAAATAATTGAGTAGTTGTAATTGTTGAGGATTCAGATAAAATGGCGGTCTTACATTAGATTCAGGATTTGAGTTAATCTGAAAGATGAAACATTATTGAAATAAGAATTATATATAAAAAAAGGGAAAATATCTGGTTCAGGAAACATTTATTTAAAATCAATTTAAAAATATAGTACATTACATTGTCCAAAACTAACTTGGATGCACTGATCATATTATATAAGTTCAGCGCTTAGTTACAAAATTTTTTCTCAGTCAGCCAATGTTTGATAAAGTATTTTTCTTTTTTTTAAGTGATCAAATTATTAAATAGCAGCAATAAAAGGATAAAAATTTGAAGAATGATTATGCAGAACTTCAAATTTCAACTTAACCGTTTTTTAGTGTTAATTTTGAAGAATAAATTAGTTCTTGTTGGAAAAAAAAATTATTTATTAATGCTGAAATTGGAGATAACTTTTGCATTTTTAAAATTTCTTGGCAGTAATACCACAGAGCTCTCTTATTTATAAGATATCAGAAATATTTACAGTTTAAAACACATATTTAAAAATAAATTGAATATGAAACAGTCTAATAACTTTAAACTTCAATAAAAAAAAAAAGATAGTTACTCACATTTGTTTGAGGTAAACCAGGGGTAAGTTTTATTCTTTTAGGAGGGGGTTGTTCAGGGGCATTATTATTGACTGTGTTTGTCTGAACCTGGACCTGATGTGGCTGACCCTGAAAATTTTAAGATGCAAAAAAAGCACTATTACAAAAATTGAACAGACAGCATAATACTAATTTTTTAAATAGAGATAACAGTCCAATTTCGAATATTACACACTCAACACAGTAAAAGGAAAGAGTGAAAAAAGAAAAAAAAAGAAGAAAAACAGGCCAGTGATTTGTACATTAATACAGCAAAAAATATTAGACACATATAAAATTTTATCAATAAAGCTTTAAGAGATTAAACTAATCCTCAGAAATAAATGTCATACAGTTATTACGTAAAATGACACATTTGATAAATTTTTACTGCATTAAGTGAGCACCCTTTCAAAACTCAAACAGCCCTTTTCTGTGAGGAAGCACTCTGCTCTTTTATATTCCTAGAGAGAACTTTACTACTACTACTACCTACTTAGACATGCTTTATATGACATATCACCACTCAATTTGACTCCCACATATGTGAATGTAATATTTTTAAATCTTGTAAATGTATATTATATTCTAATGCATAATAGTATCCTTCCCTCCCAATTGAAATCAATCCAGATTTCAGCTCATAAAAATTGGTATTTTTTAAATTTTTTATTTTAGAAAATTGCATTAGGATTAAGTGATGAAACACTTTGCAATAATCAATTTAAAATGATTTGAAGTCACAATACAACTTTATTATAATAATTAATATTAAACTCTCTACAATGACATGAAATTAATTTATACAAAAAACATTACTAAAATTATAACAATTAATATGAGGTGTTGCCAATACCTGCGCAGTTTGATTAGTTGTTCCTGGAGCAACACATATAGGGTGTTGAGATCCACTACAAGATTGTCTCTGGTTTTGACCAGCAGCACTAATTCGATTCTAAAAAGAAAAATTCATTTATAAAAAAGAGACCAAATGGGATTGCATAAAAGTAACTAACAGGTTCTTTAAAAGAAAATATAACTACCAATATCAAGTCAGAAAATTTTAGTATTAATTATATGAGCTGAAGATAAAACTTTTAGAATAATTTTAGAAACTTTAATTTACATGTTTACTGAGCAGCTTACTAAAAAATCCAAGAAAGTTTACAACATTTTTGTATGTTTCTTTAAACTTGAGAATAAGTGTAATATTTTCAAGATAGTCAGGTACGACAATTATGACACATTTTTATCACAATTTTAATCTATGTACAAAATTCTCAATGGCTAGCAAAGTTCTTAAGTTTAACAGCATAGTCATATCACTACACGTTCCAAGATATTTTTTTAAAGTTTGTCACAAAAATATTATAGATAAATCATGAGAATGAGATAAATCACTTACAACTTGTCCTTGAACAGCTGCATTCTGCCTTGACGCCATCTCTTGAGAAATAGGGAAATTCCAAGCATCTTCAATACATGGCAGTTTAGAAGATCTGGAGATTTCCAAACACATAGAAAAGAAAAAAAAAGATATATTTATAGTTAAAGATAAATATGAATTCCTAAAAAAATTGGATGTATACATATAAAGAGAATATTTAACATTAGGTAGGAATATTTAACATTTGGTAAAAATATACATATACAAACGCACACACATGCATATATATATAAAAAGAATTTAGAATATAGCAAAATATTAAAATAAGATATCTTCATAAAAAGATAGGAAAATTAAAATGGCATTCTTTAAAATATTTTTTTCTCTTTTTGTATCTTGCTACCCCTTACTAAATTTGTACTTTATTATTTAAATGCTGTGTACATAGCAACATAGATTTACTTCACTTACCTTTGAGTATTACTAGACGGAGAAACAGAAAGCTGATTCTGCAAAATTTTTATTCTGGATGAAAGGTTTGGATTAGCTGGGCCTGCAAATTTAATATTAGAATTAGTGTGCTATGATATTTAATATATGTCAGACACTATTCTGAAAATTAAGATTATATTCTAATCTACACATAGTTAAAGAAAACAAGACAAAATTATATTAATTTATTTTTACCACTTTTACCAATTCCAAATTAGGAATCCAATCCATAAATTCGTTTCGAAAAGTATTTCAGCCTGATATGAAGCATACTTCATTCAAGACTAGTTTAGACAGTGCTAGGATAGAAATTTAAAATAGGAACAATATCAGATGAGTAGAAAAAAGTTAATATATAAAACTGAAAATTAAAATTATTAAATTAATAGGATATAAAGGAACAGGAAATCTTACAGGTAAATTAATCCTACTATTTTAAAGAATCTAGATTTTAGTGTTATTTACCTTATTATCATAACAAAAACAACATCTGAAAATCGCAAAAGCTCATTAATTAATCATTAAAATAATAATAAGTTTCCACTAAAATATATGAAAATTGAAATAACAAATAGCCATATGAGTTCTTATTTATGTATTTATTTATTTTTACAATGTAAATTTACAATATATTAAATTTGCAATACAAATTTTACGACTTAATTTTGCAAGTAAGCATTCAAAAAGGATATTTCTAATGAGAATTTCTAATTTTTTCTGTTTAACAAGATCGGCATTTATTTCTTTATTTTTTCATTATACAGATTCATAACAAAAAAATTTTACTGTATCAATGAACAAAAACTGTATTATGAACAAAAACTTATTGCAATTTAAAATAGAAATTACATTAAGTTTTAAAAGGTTTTTTTTTCAGTGCTTTGATTAAAATTTCTCTTACATCTAAAAATGGTTAACAATAAATAACAAGTTGACATAAAAGAGATTAAAAGGTAAATTTTTAGATAAGATATAAAAAAAACTAGGTCTTATTATATATTTCTATTGTTGAACATGGCTAGCAAACTAAGAATTTTATATAACATATGAATGTGGAAAAATACATTCACCTTTTCCATTACTTGCGTTCAAATAACATTTCAAAGCATCTTGTGGTTGATTGCAATTTTCATAAAGAATTCCCAAATTTGTCCATGCAGGAGTATGGGATTTGTCTAACTGGACCGAACATATGTAGGCTTGAAGTGCATCCATAGGCTGTTGAAAGTTTTGATATAGGACTCTGCAATAAAACAACCCTTTTTGAAGAAAAAAAAATTGAGCCAAATTTAAATAAAAGGCGAAAAAGAATTTTCAGTGCAAAAAAAAAGTTTGTATAATTACATGACCTACTGCACTGTTTGGGTAAAAGTGGAAGAAGCCACTTTAAAACAAACAGTTAGTAAAAATGTAAATTACAAGTACTCCTTAACAGCATTATTTATCAATAACGATATCAATAAAACTTTAAAAAAATCTTATGTAATCATTAAAACAAACTTTTGTAAATAAACCAGACTCACCCTATAGAGCACCAGGTATCAGCGTTCCCCTCGCTTTTGTCAACACTGCTACGATATGAGACAAATGCATCATGGACTTTTCCTAAGCTTGAATATGATCGACCAAGAAAATACAAGGATTGACCATTAGTTGGATCTGCTTCTATAGATTTTTGTAAATAATGAAGAGAAAGTGCTTGTCTCTGAGGTTTGTCACCTAAAGCTTCAACAGTGTGATGCATCCAACCTAAAATGTTAAAGAAATATTATAAATGAAATTAATACATTAACATCAGGGGTTTGAACTCTTAATTGTCAAAGACATTTGTAAATATGTAAAATTTTGTAGTTGAGAAACTACAATTTCAATTATTATGAAACTTAATTGTATTACTTAAAAAAAAAGATTAATTTAGATCATTTTTTAAGATTTTAACTAGTGATAACAAAAAGCAAAATCTTTCTTAAGTAATTAAAAAAAATTTAAACAAGCCTTTCTTACATCTTCATATATACTATCTACTAATAAGAAAAATCTTTTTCTTTTTTTCTAATACATGTAATAAGATAATATGCAAGTGCATTTTCTGTGTCTTCTATTGATATTTACTATTAGAATGCATTTATATAGTAAAATGACTTTACATTAATAGTAGAAATATAAAGTTTTTATAGATATATAACTTCTGTCTTAAGAAAGATTTTATTTTCTGTTATCACTACTTTAAATTTTTTTAAAAGCATGACAAATGATGTAAAGTTTTTTGTGTTGTTGCGTAAAGTGATAAAAATTATAATTTAAAAATGTATGAAAATAACTTTTATCAATTAAATATCATCTTTTAAAGTTACTAATGTTACTGAAAAATTAAGACATTTTCCGTTACAATATTACTCCTATTACTAATACATTCTAATTCTTCGGTTACAATTTATATATTTTTAAACAGAATTGAAGTATGAACTACTAAAAAAATAATATATTCTGTCTTTCCTGACGCAAGCGAGATTAGTCAAGTTATTGAATACATAATCATAAAATTTCAAACTTGAATATGGATAAATAATTTTCCCTAAAATCATCTTGTAAAAATTTTAAACTTCTAAGAGCAATAAATACTTGACATATAATCTGTAAATCATGTTTGAAGAAAAAAAAATTTAGTTTATAATGGCTTCAGAAATTTTTTTAAAATTCAAATTAGATAAAAAGACTTTTTAAAAATGTTCATTGATATTAAAGGACCTCTCTAAAATATAATATTAAATATGGAGCTGTCAAACACATTAGAAATTTTTTACACATTTTTTATGTACCTGACTGACTATTCCCATACTTTTTCTACAACATTTTAACTCAATGTCTTAAAAGTAAAAGGTACTTTTTTCAATACAAATGTTCTTTAAAATATTTAAATTTGTTTATGTCATAAAATGTATAAGCTTTGTTTAAGCATGTTATGTCACTTTTTATTTTTACTAATTAAAAAATGTCTTTATAGTTTAAAATTGTATTTTAAACTATANTGTGTGTGCAAAAGAAAATTTCAAAAAAAGTTACAAAATGTGTCAACAGGCAGGGCTGTTTATTGAAAATATCTATTGTATAGCAATGGTTTTTACAGCATGTCACTCCATTATGACTGAAATATTTGCACTAGTGTCTGTTAAATTTTGTATTCAGCATTCAAACATGTTTTATATTTTTTTCAGTGTCATCTGTTGAGAGACTTTGTAACTAAATTTGAAATTTTGAGAGAATATATTCTGGTTACCAAAGTAAAGTGCTACTAACTGAACTTGTTTATCTTCTTTAGTTTATGCTTAATTAATTTGTCAAATCTGCGATCATTTTTAACAAGATTTTAAATTAAATAATAAAAATCTATAATTTTAAAAGGACACTTATAATTAACATTACTGCAATGTTTACCACGCTTTTCACATCATATTCAGAAAAAAAAAATTAAAAATTAAGTACATAATTTGTTGCCAGAAAAATGGAATTTCCAGAACTAAGATTTGTGGCCCAAGTGACAAAATCTCAACAACCTTATATTTACAAACATTTTGCATTATAACAATTGATACATATAGTAATCACTCCATAGATAAAATTTCATAAATTTTAAATTAATGAAAAAGGGAGTTTTGATTATATTCTAAAATTATATATTATTATGAAATATATTTTAAAATTTGATATTATTATGAAATATAACAAAATCATGTAAACATATTACTTTACTTGAAGGAAAATAAACTGATTTTATATTAACCATTGAATTGTCTATCCTGAAAAGTGTTTTTTCTATTTTAATTAATGTAAAAACCATGCTCAACAAGGACATTTTAAAAAATCAAATTCATGCTCATAGCTCAACATTAAAAGGTTGGCATATATTAAAATGAAGCATTTTTAAAATATAAAGCAAAAATAAATAAAATGCTACTTTTTGAAGATTAAATACTTTATTTCAAAATTTTAAGAGAATACATACCTAGTTGCTTTGATGCTTCAGCTCTAACAACGGGAGACAACTCTTTTTGTTCCAAAATCTGTTCATATGTTTCTTTTGCTGCTTTATGCTTTCCCTAAAGAGTAATAAAATTTGTAATTAAAAAATTAATGCTTCACGTTTGTCTTAAAAATAATAAAAACAAAGGGTTAGGTGGGGTGATTGGCAAAACTTCAAAATAAAAGCTTTAACTTTTTATCCATAATAAAATAAAGCCTTTTTTTTTAAATTTCAACTTTTGATGCATACATAAAAATAACACATATTTTGCATATTTAAAAAGCAAAAATGTCACAAAATTACTGTTCATGTAATATATAATGTATAATTACTGTAATGTAATATATAAAAAAATAAATAAATAAAAAATAAATTAACAATTTCTTTTAAGTTATAATCCAAGGAATCATAAAGGACCCAAAAAAAAAGAAGAAAAAAAAAAGAAAAAAAAGATTTTTTTTTTTACACTGCACATAAGAGGTGTGGAAATTAAATAATGAGCCTCATACCTACACAATCAAAATTCATATGCGCCAAATGCGAACAATCAACAGTTATATAGCGTACAAGCCTTCTCTTTTGAATGTGCATCTCCCATATCAGTAAAAAAGTTAATCCTAGCTGTGGTCTATGTATGTAAAAGAGCTGTTGTTTTGTTCAGCCAGATTACACTAAGTTACAATATTCATTATATTACTGACTCAGGTAAATTGTATTTTAAAATAATTGTCTAATGTCTTTTGTTTAAAACATTGTTCACATGTTTCAGTGTTTAACACCCAACAGTCGTATTAATCGTCCTTATAGTGCAACGTGTTGAGTATGCGGTTGAATTATTATATGGAAGCAACTCTGATTTTTTTAATAGCTCGGATTTATGGGAAACTTCAACAATCAAGACTCTACTATTCATATATATACATATTATATACATAAATTTTAGCATTTAATCAAGTATATGTAATGAAATTGTTTTAAGTGAAAAAAATAATATTTATTGATAAAAATATAACTTTAATAAATTATATCAAACATTTTTAATAATAAATTACTCACCTGAACTTCAAACAGGTGTGCAATATGATAACAAACTAAAAGAGAAAAAGAATATGTAACACTGTTTAAAACACAAAATATAATAAAATTACTCTCATTGGGAGAAATATAATTTTAAATTTAGTGTTAGGGTGTTACTTTGCATTAGAATCATTCAATATTCTACATGTTATTAACTATATTTACATTTAAATAGTTTGATATGACAAGAAAAAGATTTTAGGTAAAACTAAATGTATATATAGTCTATGATATTAAAACTCTCCTGTGTACATTGTATGGCTTCTATGAGATATACACCTTAAATTTTTGTTAGATGTTTTCTTTATATTTCCAATGTTGTTATTATTTATTTATTATTATATATTATTTTAAATTTACAGTGTCGTAAACACCTGGAGTATTTTAACAATACCTTAAATATGGCTAACAGTTTTTGATGATTTTAATTAAGGATAAAACTACTATGCCAAATCCCTGTTATACACATTCAACGTCTATCATGATTTTTTCATGTCTGATATCACTAGGGATGAGGCAGACATTTGCTAGAAGCCAGGTCTACTACATCGCCGCTATTTAATTTTTTTAATGTGGTAGCTTACATTTAAGATTATAATCAACATTCTAAGTAAATTTACAAACACATGGTTATTATGTTCTTTTAACTCTTGTTACTTTTTATGTTTTTTTAACTCTGAATAAAACTTAAGATTATTTTTTTAAAGAAAAGTCTAAAATAATTAGCATCATAGATTTTGTATAGGTCTAAAAGAACAAAAATTGCTTTAATTTGATCTGTTCGAATGTCAATAGAAGAAAACATAATGTGCAAAAAAATTAAATAAATAAATAAAATTATCTCATTACGCACATTAAAAAAGTTCTAACACTGCCGTTTTTTAAAATTATGATTAAAAATAATAATGTTAAACTACTGTAATTTTTAAAAAAAAAACAAAATGCAAATTAGTAATACAGGCTATGCATGCATTATTATAATAATTGCTAGCGTTTAAAAAAAAAATTTTACAAATGCATTCAAGAACAAGAAAAAAATGATTGTATTGATAACACCAAACATATCAGTATCTAATTAAAAACATACCTTCAGTTTTCGATAAACTGCAAATATTTGAGTCAGCAAGAACTAATTGGAACTGCTTATAAGATGATTCATAGTCTTCTAACACCTTAAACATGCAACCCAAACGCAAATGAATTTCATTGGATCTAATGAAGCCAGGATCAAGATATAAGACTTCACGGAATATATTGATAGCCCTAAAAAATCAAAAAAAATATAAATATTAATTAAGAGAAAAAACTAATAATGCAATCAATCAGTTAAATATGCATTGTTTTGTTAAAAAATTCGAAAACAAATATCTGCTTTAAGCTAGAAAATTTTTACATTAGCCTTTCTTGCTAAAAAGTTTAACATATGACTTAACGTTTCTAGATAAGCTTAACCATATGCAAGGTGGTACTTTGCTGGAGATAAGACAGGGATAATTGTTTTGAAATATTTGTGATTCTTAATAAAAAGTATATTTTTTTAAATTACAGGATTTGTTGATTTTTTTGTATAAAAAAATATTATTTGTAGTATGTTTCAAATTTGTTTGCAATGTTTAGCAATATATTAGTGGCTTATAGTATTTAAACAATTAAACTAAGAAAATGATTGTATGTTAATATTTTAAAATGCTTATGAAAATTGATGTTTTGAGAAATAAATTCTATGTTATCATTTCTAAACAGGCTTTTTTAAAAAAAGCTTTCCAAAATAAAAACAAGACTTAGTCTGTTTTAGGAAGGTGGAAGGTGCCCCTGCCCACATTAAAATCTGATCCAGACTTCAGCCATTGTCTATGAATAATGACTATTTATATAATGTGCACTAAATATTTTTTTTATTAATTTTAACTTATTTAAAATTAGTTTTGTTATAATAAAAACAATCATTTATGAATAGTATTAATGTAAGAAATACATTAGGTAAAAAGATCCTGTTTCCTGCAACAAAAAAAAATTTAATTAAATTTTACATGCATAAATGATGTCATATTCTTTTTCTAATATTTCTGACCACCTCCTCTCCTTTGTCACTAGACGCCACCCCTAATCAAACCCTCTATACCCTTATTACATGTAACCGTATAAAATATAAACATATACTTGCAATTCAGAATTAAGGAGTTATGGGATCATATTTCAAATTTTATTTATTTTCATAACATTTCTGAGTATTATTACAATAATGATAGCAGCAAAATAGAAATTAATACATAAATAACAGATTATTTAATAATAGTAATTTCAAATAACTTTATTTTAACCAAAATATGTGCTGCCACACTCTTCTTTACCCCCTCCTTTTCCCTCGTCACAATTTCAAGAACATCTTTCCACCTCTATACGTGAAATCATTGTGGGCGACCCAAAAGAAATCAAAATGCATTTGTAAATGAAAAATTCTTCAACAAAAAATAAGCACTATTTTTAAGCTCTCAAATAATGTTTTTTACGCACTTTTTTTTTTAAAAAAAAAAGAAGTATAATTAGGATATGTGCACGAATAAAAATTACTTTTTTCCTCCTATCATTGAAAGTTTATATAAATGTGTGTGTGTATATATATATATACAATCATCCCCACTTAATTGCATATCGGATAATCGAATAACCGGCTTATACGAATAGAATTTAATGGATACTTGTCTTGTTGTTTCTAGCCCCCGCTTAATTGCTTAAAGAAAAGGTATTGAAAAGAAGAAAAAAAATTATTTTAAAGAAATGTTTCACCAGTTGGAATTTTTGGAATGGAATTTTCATTTTTCAGTTAAGAAGATTAAAATACAATAGGTGGTCACTTCAATAGAGACTTCCTGTTCATTTGTTGCTCGACATAGGTGTTAGGGGTATAGTGTATAAGAATAAATCTAACCTTGCTGGCAGTTATACATTGAAGTAAACGAAGGAGGTTTTACCCTTCTTTGATTTACTTCACTCACACATTATTTAGATTGTAAAAAAGGTACAGGGTGATTTGTTTTGCAGTCCCCTCCTGGTGCACTATTAGCTTTGATAAGAAAAGGTAACACACTAACAAACTAGAGCACAGTGTGTCTTTTTCTTAAGTAGATTAATCATTATATAATCCAGTGAACTTTAGAAGACATTCATATTTTATAATGCTTAACACATACATTTTTAATTACAATTGTTTATTGATCATAAAATAGAGCTTATGTAATCAAAACTCCACATTAAGCATTAAATACCATTAAAAAGTAAAATTTCTCAAAAATGTATAATTTAAGCACTGCCCCTTTAATCGAATAACCGGCTTTATTGAATAGAGTTGGCTGGAACAAATGGTATTATTTTAAGCGGGGCTGACTATATGTATGTATGTGTGTATATATATATATATATATATATATAATAAAGACAAAAAGGATAAAAGAAAAAGACAGATTAATGAAGTAAGTACATTTGAATTCGTTGCCTTATAGATTGTATTTTGTATTTGCTACTTAATATGTTCTATCTTCGTTTAAATTTTTTTGAGTGCTCCTCACACTATTGTATTAATATATTTTGCTTCGGCTATATTAATACAATATTAGAAAGCACTCTTTTTTGCCGATATGTGGTGTGAGCTGATGAGATTATATCTCTTCCTTTTTCTTGTTTTTCAGCTTTTTAATTTATTTTATTAAAATTATATTTAAACATTTTTTAAAAATACTTTGTTTAAATAATTTTTCTTCTTCTCTGTTCATAATTTTTTATGCATTTCCTTTAAGGTTTTATCTATATTTTTTAACTTAGTATATATTATATTATATATATATGCTAACAAAGTGTAAAATAATTTTCACAAAAACTTTACATGATCATCTTTAAACAACTAGTTTCTGAAAGAAAGAAAAATCTTTTTTTGATTATATTAGTCACCATAGAAACAATTTATGCACAATTTTAAATATACTACATATTGAGTGGCTTATTCTATTTTTTAATTTAAAATTATAGCTAGTTTAATTATTATTTAAAAATGTTGTAAAGTGTATTTTTTTAAAATTTAAATAAAAGTTATTTGTAAAAGCACATTCAACAAAATATCAACATTATAGATCATACTGAATTTATAAAGATATGTAAAGAATTAAGCGAACTAAGAAAGCTTTAAATTCATATTACTAATGTAAATGAACCCTATTAAATTTTTATTAAAATTTGTTCATTGGTACAGAATTTATTTAATGAAATGATAACAAATTCAATAATTTGGAAGTGTAAATACAAAGAGTAGTGAAGCTAAACACTTTTCTCTGAAGTAAATTATTATATGGTCCCACACTAATAATCTTTAACAAATCTAAAATAAATGAATTCTTTATTTCAATTGTTTTGAATTAAAACACTAAGAGATGAATTAAGAGTTTTTTGGAATGACAAATCTGAATAACAAAGATTTTTTTCAGCATTTAAAATAGTGAAAGTGATAGTGAAGTGAAATAAATATCACTTCAAACTTCTTAAAATCTTGTATCTAAGTATTATTGAGTTTTTTCATATAACAATTTAAGAGCACTGAAAATTTTAAAAGTATCTTAATATTCTGCGCAATTAGTGGATGGTCCCTTAGGTAGTGAATTCTACGATTAAAAATCTCAATAATTAATAATTTTTGTATTTATTAAATTAAATGAATAAAAGGGAGAGGGAAATATTGAGGTGATGAAGCTCTGTGATTGTTGACTTGTACAAGTACATGAAAATACGTAATTAGTGAATGATCCCCAAGTCAAGTTCAAGGATTACGGTACTGATCTATAAATAGAAGACCTGTAGTAGGCCATTGGCTTGCCAGCGGCAAAGACGATGGCGCTGCACCAACGATGAAATTAACAAGAGAAATATAAAAAATTTTTGCTATTAATGAAAAAAAATTGGCAATGTTTAGTTGGTCCCCATGATCATCAAAAATTCTAGAGAGTTTTCATTTGATTTCAGAGGGCGGAAAATGAAGCCTAAAATCAAGAATCTCTTACAAAATGCAGCTGAGTTGCACATGAAAGTGCAACTGTCCTCAGTAAAAGCACATGTGCACCCACAAGTATTTCATGAATCATGTTAAATGATTGGCGCTTTTATACGCTACGGACCGATGGTACGCCGAAATGGATTGCGGTAGAATGAATTGTGAAAACATTGAATAGAACAGTGCGAAAACCACTATTTTTGCATAATTTGTGGCGGAAACCGATATGATAAAAAAAAATCTAATTAAGGAAAAGGGAAAATTAAGGACTTTTTAAAAACACCCAATGAAAAAAAAACACCTTTAAGGGCTTATAAAAAACGAAAATAGCATCTTTAAGTACTTCTTAAAAACACTACGCAGCCTGTAGGGGGTCAGCTTTTGACCATTTCTTTCATTCAAAACATTGGGCTGGTGTAAAGTAAACAACAGCGCCAAACAACAATGAGGGTATATTTTTGTAACAAATAGGCTTGTAAGTGTAGTAATAACAGAATAAATTTAAAAGTGTTCAAATAATTTTGTTTTATTAAAGTTTTCAAATTACATGTTTTCGTGTTCTGATATTTTAAGAAATTATTTTTATTAAACACTTCACATACATCTAACGAAATAATTTTTTTTAAAAAGTTAGTTAAATATTAGAATTATATGTAACAAATTGAAGTTCAATCGGGTTTAAACACATTTTTTAAGATATTCATTTGACTATTTGCTAAATAAAATTTTTAAGTCAAGTAAAAAAATTTTTCAACAAGACATGAAAACATGACTTTTCAACATGATATAGGAAACGAAAAAGTAAACAATGACCCACCCTCTCTATAAGTTGCCCACTTGTCTAAGTTGACCACTAAAACAATGCACCACAAGTGGTCAACTTACACAAGTTTTACTGAATATAAGTACAATAAAAATCAAATTTGCATATGTTAGCATGGATTTAGAATGCATCTGCAACAATATTCTAAATAGTAGCTACGTAACGTTAGTTATCGGTAAGTGAATTTGCATTTTCACCAAAATTTATATCAATATAAAATATAAATAAAATTTTTAAAAAAATTGAAAAACTAGTTAATTTATTACAAAAAAGATTACTCCGTTTATGCATTTTAATTATTGTGACGAAACAGTTTTCCATATATTTTGCTATAAAAAAAAATAATAATAACGGAAATGATTGTTGTGATATTTCAAAACAGAATTTATTCGACCGATGAAAGAA